AATGCTTCCTGCCACTGTAAATATCGTGCAGGACCAGTACCAAAAGTCGTGAAGCACGCACTGACTCACGTGAAGTGGGCAAGGTTAAAGATGATCTGTTTGCGATGCATACATCTTATATCCATGCATTTAAATAATATTATACCTTGACATTTTTAAAGTATATATTTAATTGCATTTTTAAACTACGCTAGTAGTTATGACTAACGCTGACAACAGTTAATATGTTATAAAAGTTTTATTTGTCTATTAGATCCGTATTTAAAATCCGGTTTCCGGTTTTACAATTATAATTTAACAATTAAAAATATCTTCAAAAAAGGAATACGTATTTTTTTTTTATTATCTTAGATTATCCTGAATTACCTTTTTATACGAGGGGAATGTTTTTCGCACCATGCCCTCCGTTGGGGAAACGGACGACGTGTGTAGGACTCCCGGAGAACCGGTCTACCCACTAAACCCCGCGGCAGCCTACCTCGGCAGCCTACCTCGGCAGTCGGGAGGAGCTGCAGGAACGGCTTCTAGAGTCCTCTCTGCCGTACCCCACGATTGAGGCACATTCCAGGGTGACCATGATCATCATTAGGGCGGGATGCTGCCGCGCCCCTCACCTCTCTACACAATAGAAGTCGCAACAGCGCCTCGCCCTAGATGACACCCCCTGGCCGCACCGGCGTGTCTCCTGTCCCGCAGCGACCCTTAGGCAGCGATTACGAGCTACCTGTCGCGCCACCTTCTCAGTCCTTCCTTCCATTTTCAAGAGCACCAGTCTCGCTTCTTTCCAGCCGAGGGGGAAGACACCGAGGCCAAGACAATCCGTGAAAATCCGCCTCAGTTTGTCCCCCAGTACCGACAGAGCAAAAACAAAGCCTGCATCCTGGACCACCATACGTCGGACTAGTCCGATTAGAGTTGCCTGTCCGATTGTAACGGAGGAAATCCTGAATTAACTAACTTCAGACTCCTTCATTACCAAAAAAAGACATTAAACTTAAACTTATTACAGTAAACTTGTTATAGTATAGTTTTAAAAGTTAATAATCCTCTAAACACGATCATACTTATAGACAGCAAGCACGTAAGAACGTGTCTTGACAAACATGGTGAGTTTAGGATCCTAAATGGCACTTTCGTGTCTGAGAACATCTTAGTGTATAAGCTAAAACAAAAGAAGCTTAAAAGAAGCTCAAAGTAACATTATCCAAAAGGCAGATTATACCACATTTAAAATTAGACAATATCATAATGAAAAGAGAGAGAGGGAGGGATAATCAAGATAATATATACTGTAACACGAAATCAAGAACAAAACAGACTATAAAACAAATGATTCTCATCAACGTAGTATATATTATACTACCAAAGATTTACAACGGCTCTGAATCCTCAGTGGAATACTTAAAACTTTGTATCTCAGATCATAATAATAATACATAACGATATCATAGCATACATATATTTCCAGTCAAATGCCCGTAGTTGCGTGGTTGTTTTGTCATGAATAGTACACCGGGGGCCGATATTTAAACCAAATCGACAATAACATTGCAGCTTTTGAATAAAAACAAGCAATAAATATTGCTTGTCGCAATCTACTGACAGTTTTATATTCATTGAGGATGTTATTAACGTTGCGAGATCAAATTTGGCTGTTGTAAATTTAAATTATTAGGATAATTACAGGTCAGTCTGCAGATCGCCATAAACTATTCATTTAATTTGGATTACTTTTGTTATAATATAATCAAATGAAGTAATAATTTATTAATAACTCTTTACCGTATTACATACCTAAGTATATATCACTAACTACGGAAAAGCCGTACACACACCAATGTGTGACTATGCGGACATTGACGTGTACGTTTTTTTTTCTCTTTTTACGTGTGGAAAAAGAAAAAAAACCCTCCCTTCTAACGTCTGCCCGCAACTACGCGGGCACCACCTTCGGGTACATTCTCTATTTAGGCGAAGTGACGGCACACGCTGAAGTGACGTGGAGGAGGTGGAGGGGAAAACCCATCCCGTCCACCCGCGGGCTGCGTCAAAGCGGCATGAGACGCCGTCTCCGTTGCCCGGTTCGTCGGCGGCGAGTTGAGTCTGAATGGAAATAATCCTCCCGGGCCCTCTCCGTCGCCTCCTTCTGCGAGATGACGTCTTCGCAGAAGGATGCGACCGCGGTAAAACAACTATCACTACCGGCCATGGAGCACGTCAATCAACCAGTATTTTCGTTAAGATAATAATTGATTAGGTAATATATATATAATTTATTTGCTCTTCTAAAATAGCCTAATTATCTTCATGCAACTAGGTTTTTTAATTTATTTTAATTGTTACGGGCAACAGTAATCAACCCTGTCATCAAAAACATATTTCATACTTATTGCGCTGGCTTGTTGTCCTTATATGCTATCAAACAAAGGACAAAACAACTGCTTTACATTATTAGTAGGAAAAACAATTCTGGTATTGTTTGCTGTTTTTAGATTAAAACCATATCAGTTTCCACCGGAAACAACACATGATTATATTAATTGGCCACATCATATTCTTTTAGATATTTTAACGTATGTAACGCCTTAATTTACACCAGAAAATATACATGTGTGTTAAGCTGTAGAGCTGTGTTCAAGCAATCAGTCCAGCGAATAAACTGGCCACAAACGGTGCCGCTGCAAACCGTTGCAGTAACTACAGCCGGCCACTATCATTCGCAATGCGATTAGCAGTTAAACGCGTCTACAGTAGCGGTGCTCTTGACATATAAAACTTCGCACCAGTTTCATACGACTTCCTATTTCATCCGCTTCCAAATTTTGAATAGAATGTTCTAGAGAACTGGTCATATAACGGCTTCAGTATCATCAAAATCACAAGTGATATTTTAGATTGCTCAGCATTTTTACCATAAGAGTTTGTATTTTATATTATATTTTAATTTTCAACCTACCCGTAGGTGACATCAGCACTAATATTGTAAGTATGTTTGTTATCATGTTTATACGTCACAGCCATCTTTATCTACTTGTTCCTGGACCACTGTCCCGAACTCCTTTTGAATGCATTACATCACGCTAATGCAAGACGAAGAATTACAGAGAAAGACGTAATGAAAAGAGACTTGTAAGTCATGAGTGAATTCATAGGAAGCAATCATATTAAAATAAATTTATTCAAGATGATGGTAACTGTGCAGAAAATACTAAGTCGTCAAGGTTTGACTCACAATAAAATTCCAATGTAATAAAACAGTCAGTGCGGTAGCAATGGAATAAGCACTGACATCCTGCAAGGGCCAATGACCTTGTCTCAACGTTTCCAAACGTGTTTTTATGTTGATTACATTTATATTTTAATATCTTCCATAATACTATGTACAAAATATACATATGTTGTTCGTGATATCTAACATCAAAAGTAATTCAGATCTTAGAGAAACTGATTGAATATTAGATGCAACTTCGACACCAGAGTTCCAAAAACGAGTTTTATTTACATTTTCGTATTGTTTCAAGTTTATTTATTACGCTTTTGACATTCGATCACAATCTATGCTAGTTTTAGATTCTAAATTAATAGACACAGACAATTCTAAGTCGTCGCCCACCGATTTCTTATTTATTGTTCGTTTCGGTTGGGCACCCAGACGATGGTCTGATCTGATCGGGACACTGTCTAGAATCCCATCAACTGCCACGCTCAGAAAAGCCGAAAATCAGACAGTGTGAAAATATCAAGTGGCTGAGATCACCAGAACACGTCAGAGCGGACACGACCTTCAGCTAACGTTTCGTTTGTTAATATGATTGTATTCATATGACGTCGTTATGTTTTCACGAAGAGTGGGAAGAATACAAAGAGCTTTCTCTAAACATCTTACTTACCTTACATAAGAAATGGAAATCACTATCCTTATGAGTACCGTTTGAAAAATCATAAAATTATTAATCTTTGTAATCGCCGCCGCACTTATTGATTGATTATAAGAATGGCATTGTATATATAATATACAAATAAATTATTGTTACTAATGATCTCGTATTTTTTCAAAAAACAGAAAACGGATTAATGAAATGTAGCGATATCCTCTTTGTAGTTCCATCAAAACAACATTCTTATACGTAAATTTAACTTAGGCCTTAACCCACCTTTAACTAGAATGTGTAGAGAATCAAACAGCATATTTTAATGGTAAAATATATATTTCTCCGTAACTAAATTTATAAGTCCTATAACAAGGCTAAGGGCATAAACAACAGTCTAATCTTAATCATTTGTTTCTTCATTAATCTTTACTTGTACTTAGATTTACATAGATATAGAATTAGTTTACTTTGTTTTTATACCTAATAATTTTCAATTGTAACATTTTATTGTCTAGTACATGTGTTTACTATAATACATATATATACACACATGGGCATGCAGCATATCAGATAAATTTAATTATTAGTAATTTCTTTAAGAATGTAGCACAGCTATGTATTCTTTTGGCATTTTAAATAAATATATACATTATAATTACTCTATATCCAGAAAGGTGAAGTGTAGCACAGTTCTCGAATATAGTGAATATCCTTCCAATCATTGTGATATATAATATCGCCCTATCGCCCTCTAATTACAAACATATCAAAATCTCCATTACTTACAAAAAGCGACAGATATGGGTCAGTAATCGAAAATCTTGGGTACATTATTGGATAGTTCCATTAAATTTATCAGCGATCTCAATCCAAGGGGTCCCTATTACCGGCAATAATGTACCTAGTAATGATTGTAGGGCTTTCAGATTCGGACCCTTCCTTCTCAAATGGAGTTCGATGTCGGCCGGGTCAATTGATTAAAACCGTGGCCCATCTGACGTCACAACATAGTTGAATTAATGAACGTGATTCAATAAAGGCACTGCACACCATTATCCCCTTAAAATTGTTACTATCTGCGTTTAAATAAAGTGGTTCTACTGAAATAATGTATTAATTGTTAATTACCTTCACTGCCGTTTGCTGAACTCCAAGTGATCAAAATCTGTTGACAAAAAGATACACTGCTTTAATTTTTTTACTTATAACATTAAAAAAATAGCAAATCTATTGACAAACGGATGCAAAGCAGTATCCATTTAATAAATTAAATAAGAATGAGACATTTAACAAAGTACTTGTAATCCATAGACTACTCAAAATACGAGCTCATAAAACCCATGACGTACACATCTCGTTTTAGAGCCGTACCTAGTCGTTCATTCGGAGATCGGTCTGGTCTCGAGAGTCCTCACCGTCCCTCGTTACGGTGGAGCCCATTAGACCAGGGGCGCAAACCGCGCCACGATTTTAGTTTCCGACCCAACGCGCCCCGAAGCACTTATATCCGCATATATCCGCCCCTTAATAAGGGAGTCGGCGCCTAATTGACTTAACATTGGATTAATAACGGTTTAGGTCTGAAATATGTTTACCAATGAATATACGGCGCGGCGCGTCGAGTTCGTATTAGCCTACGCGAAATTTTTGCTTTAATAATGATTTATTTTCATAAGTAGATTGGATGACGTGGAATGTGATTTGTTTCTTAGTAAAGTAAAGAATTTTTGTGTTAATATTTGGTACTACTAATTCAAATCAATTATTTAAAGTAATCTATACAAATAAATAAAATTGAAGTCTGTTTGTAATGTCAAAATAATAGTTTTTTTTAATGCTCACACGGTTATTTGCACGATACTTATTCCTGAATACCAGTTTAAATAGTTTTTGTCTATCTCTTTGTCTGTTTGTTCCGGGTAATCTCCTAAAGGGCTGGACCGATTTTGATAATATTTTACTACTAGATAGCTGTCTATTTAAGTCTATTTATACAATGCTTTTCAAATTCGGAGAACGGTGTCACGGGTAACAGCTAGTATTGAGTAAAATGCAAAATAAAATGCTTGTAGCAGGAAGGAAACCTATTGTTTACTTCTATGCGTCGGTGTTGACGTAAAATATAGTACATATTTTATCACAATTATACATTAATGACTTTTAGATCTTAACACCAGCTTCTAGTCAACCACCCAGTTTGTGTCCAACTTTGTCTTCGAATGTTTTCATCCCCATCACCTGGATAGTTGGCGCTTCACTACTGTGCGCTTTTTGAGACACTTTTTGCCTAGCACAACCAATCTGTGAAACGGCGTTATCGTTTGCGGTATTTCCGGACCGGAAACCTTCAAGAAAAGAGCGTACTCCTTCCTAAAAGGTCGGCAACGCGATTGTGACTCCTGAGCTGCAGAAGTTCATGGGCGGCGATGTTCACTTTCCTTTAGGTGACCCGTCAGCTCGTCTGCCCCCTCTAACATAAAAAAAAATCTACCTTTCTAACAAGATCGTAATTCTAATGATTCCGAATAATGAATGTAGTCGGTTTGTTACATTACTATTTTTTTGGGAACGAATTTTCTTATCGCGCGTTACACGCTCTGAGCGGATGGGAGCAAATCAAATCAAATCGTTTATTTATGATACATGGGTTACATACAGGTGTTCATTATATAATTATTAATGATGCCATGATCTGCCAGTTGGGCATACAAATTATTAAATAATATAATGAAAATATGGTTATTATTATTTAAAATTATATGTTACTAGCGATCCGCCCCGGCTTCGCACGGGTGCAATGTAGATACTACTAATGTGGTGTCAGTGTGGAGAAATGAATATACTATTATGTACTACTATGTACTACTACTTATGTACTATACTATTGTTATGATAGGACTATACTACAGGACATCTTTATATGTAACATAATACATTCGTGTCTGTGAAACCATGGAAATACACATTGGTTTAGTAGTTGGCATACCGTCAGTAGCGCCACCTATCGGCTCCAATTGTATTTTTAAATTATCCGGGAAACTATCGAAATACCCATATAAAATTTCAACCCAATCGGTTCAGCCGTTTAGAAGTTAAAAAAAGCGTTGGGTGCCTGTTGTCAATAGTAATCTATTTTTTAGTTTGGTTTTATATAGAAAGCGAGTTTTTTAATTTTTTTAAACTATAATTTTTTTTATTTTATTTTTTTAAATTAGTGTATTGTCATCGGTCCTCGATATATCTACAAAGTTTGAACGAATTCTGACAGTTTAAAGTCAGTCAAAATCACGCCCAAAGGAGTCGGTTACAAACATACAAACAAACATACAAGTGAAGCTAATATAAAGCGTGTAAAAAGATAAGTACGAAAGGATAATTCTTACTACCCGTTGTCCTACTACCCGTTTTCCCATAGGAATGAAGCATTTTCCCACAGTAAAAAGTAGCCTATGTTCATCAGGGATAATGTCGGCTTCTAATAGTAAAATAATTTTTCAAATCGGTCCAGTAGTTTCGGAGCCTTTTCAATACATACAAAAAAACAATCAAATCTTGCCTCGTTATAATATGTGTAGATTAAAAAATATATTAAAATTATAATGGTTGGATAAAAAAATCATTGAAGATTATATTTAAATTCTATTATTACTATTAGTCAATAAGAGAGTCAACAACATTCAGTTATCGCCAACATTAAACATGGCCATGAAAGTTAAAAAAAAATCTAGTCGATAAAAATTCAGCGAGACCGAAAAATGTGTAACAAGAGTTTTTTCCGACACTTACTGTTAAAGCTGTGTATGAACTATATATGTACATCGCCGCACACAGCTCTCCCGCGCGCCGAAATAACTAAATTATCCCTGACCATTCAGTGTTTAATTTATCATTATTTATTTTTTACATAAGAAATATACTTTATAATGAATTTTTCAATTTAACTGTATTATCTTGATATTTTATAATATATATTATAATGACTGTATATAGCAAACGTCTACCAAAAAGCGAAAGGAATTTCGTTCTGACCGTGGGTCCATAGACCCTCACGCCGTTTTTTTATGATTTATTAATTTATAATTTAACTGTCATCTATTAGGATAAAAGATGGTGACAATGAAATAATATCTAAATAGAAAAACCGTTACTAAAAACACTAACCAGGCGCAGAACAACACCACTCTTTAAATGAACCATCGGATGCAACGAACTTTTGAGACAACTCTAGAGGTGCTCAACGCTTACTTTTTAATTGATCGCTAGTCATTGAATAGTAGAGGAAGTTTGCGACTATGAGGACACGATGGCGTGACTGTAATAAAAGGCTTTTGAGATTCACCTGGAGTTAGGAACAGCTGCTAAAGTGGGTTACATAACTCTTCTTACTTTTCACACTGCGAGCACAGGGATTTTAATTATGTGTTTTTCTATTTCTTTATAAACTCCTGTACAGTATTATGTATGTTATATGTATAAAGCGGTAATCTGTTTGTACACGATAGATGCTGCTAAAAATATGAGCTTTACTGAAATACTATTGTAACTGTGTAAACTAATAAGCCCCCTTACTGTACATAGTTTAACATTAACACCGTTAACTTTCTATTCATTACAAATTGTATAAAATTAGGTTACACAAATACGTTGTTTATTATTCATTTACCAGAGATGTCTTGTTTTATTTTATTTTAATAGTATAACTTGAACTGTCATTGTATAGACTTTTTTACCATCACAGATTAAAATATATACTAGACTCCTATAGCTTATGTAACCGCTTTAATATGACTGTTAACATTAATATCATAAACACTAAATATTCCATTCATCTACACAAAACTTTCAAACGGTAAAACCACACGGTGTTTTCGGTGTCAGTCTTTTACCTTTTGCTTTTAATTAGAGCATGCAGATTTGCCGGATGCAGCAACGTGGGGGACGTTGATGCTCCCAGGCATGCTGTGAAGCGTTGTCCCATGAAATTGATGGTGCGTTTAACTCATATACATCGGTACATATATATAAACCTGTTCCGCTATACAAAAGTACCAAGGTTGCAAAAGGTCGAAATGCGATGCGATGGAACGTAGGTATTATACTTCAAAAAAGGATTTGTATATTTATACAAATCTTGTTTTGAAGTAAAACTTCTTTAGAATCGTTGTGATTTGAAACTCGATGAAATGAAAGTGCTCATCAATATAGAAACAAACACATAAATGTAGGTATGTATGGTGGGTATGTAGTATGTAGTATGACAAATAGATTAAGTCGGCGAGAAAATGAGATAGAATACATCACACATTATTTTTTAATTATGATACATTAGAAACAGTCACATCTCTGTGTAAGTCATGGTAAATTTCATGAAAAGAGTAGTGGGTTGTCATCAGAGCCGTGGGGGCTATTTGCCGGATATTTTATTCCATGCTTAATCGGAACATGTCTTCTTTAAAATCCAATAAAAATATCACAACTCTTTCATAAAATACGTGTTTTTATTTTAAAAGGAAAAAGTGCACTCTTACTGAGACTTTTTAATATTTTGGCAGTGTGAATATTACTTTATTTTTATTCATTACTAGCTGGTACCCGTGACTTCGTTCGCGTGGAATTTGAAAAACGCTGCCTAGTGGGTTTGATTCCCGGGCCGGGAAAAATTTAATAGGGTTCTCCGGGAGATTAAAAAAATATTTATATTTTACTTATACAAGTTTCACTTCTACCGTGTGTGCATTGCACACACACACTTTTTTTATTTTTATTTTGACACATGTTTTACTTTGACACAAGGCCGTCTGATTCTAAATTAGACAGAGCCTGTGCTATACTAACCTGCTGATAAATATACTTGTATACATATTATAGATAAATAACAACGACACACAACAAATGATAGTGCTCATTACAAAATTATTTGTCACGGGTGAAACCTCACTGGTGTCCACCTAGGACAAATATAGACCAGACAATAATACATTACTATATGCATAAATATAGTATATACACATTATAGACATACACAATAGTACTTTATCTTATCTACAACTATCACATTCGTCTGTTTTACTATTAGTATAATGGATTACCTTGCGATATAACAGGATACGCTGGCCTCTGATTAGTGTTACTGATAGGCGTTACAGTATGTTGAATATTGAATTTTTGTAAAATTGAGACGTTTCCAAAGTGTGTCATTTGGTAACAAATGTTAGCTTAGATAGATAAATAGAAACACCTTTATTTGTTCACCATTTTTACAAAAGTTTCATTTTATTTACGTTTCATACATAAATGTCGGACATATAATATACAATCACCAACAGCCTTTAATAGTTCACTGGCGGACATAGGCCTCTTCTTAGAAATGAGGTTTTGGCCTACTACAATGTAATGTAGTGTACAAAGGGCAAGTGTGCAAAGTAAAAAATCATGTTAAGTTACCGATTTGCTTGTATTTAGTTCGTAATGCTTGAATAAACTATAATTGCACCTAAGTAATGAATTATTTCATGGAATAGGCGTTAATTTTTCTTCAAATTTCCACCTCATTAAATAA